TCACCATGTTGACCAGGATGGTCTCGATCTCTTGACCTCGTGATCCACCCGCCTCGGCCTCCCACAGTGCTGGGATTACAGGCTTGAGCCACCGCGCCCGGCCAGAAATGTTTAAATTACGTACATATATGGCTCACATTATATGTCTGTTGGACAGAGCGGACTTCAGGGTGCCATCCCACTGTCATTTTTTGTGTGTGTGATTCTAAAGTGACTTAATAAAAATCTCACCCTCTCCTTACTGTAGCCCAGGAGGCTGCTGTGGGTCAAAATGCCATGGGGCAAGGACGACTGAGCAGTGAGATCTTGGGCAAGATGACCTCAGAGATGACTCTGGTGGCCCCGGAAATTAAACCTGGAAAGAGTGTTCGTGGGAGCGTGGTGATCTCCAAAAGCAAGGCGGATAGCCATGGCTCTGGGTCGCAGAAGCAGCATCACCTGCACCAGTCCGAAACATCACAGGTACCAATCAGGGCTCTCCAGCAGGAGGGCTGGCATCTTCCTCCTCACCAGCATCCTGCAGCCAGGTCAGTGCTCTTCATGCCTCCATTGGTCTTGCCAGACTGGCCTGAGCACCATTCCTCCACCCCTCATTTTGAAAGGGGTGTTCATCCAGCTGATGCTCAGCTAGCATCTTTTATGCTGTAGCCACTGGTGAAGTGCAAATAAAGAAAGCAGAATCCCTGCACCAAGAGTCTGATGAAGGAGATAACCACATTTGCAATAAAGTGAAATTAGTGACAAAAGAAGCATGAAAAAGGAATGAGGCTGAGCCACAGAAAATTGCCAAAATTCAATCCTTTTAGAACTCCATAATAGCAATTTCCTATGGCTCAACCTAATTCTGAAGGAGTGTTAAGGATAAAACCATTAATCTAAGTTTCTGGAGGGCTGCAAAGGGAGTCTTGGAAAGTCAGAAAGAAGTCGCAGCATTTGAGCAATGTGCCAAGGAACTTAGCAATCTCACCGACTGGCAGATGCTGCTGAAGCCAGAGACTGTGGGTGCAGTGAGTAATGAGTTGTAGGTGAAGAAGTGAAATCAGGTGAATGTAGGCTTTTATGATGTTTGAAAGTGAAGGGAAAAAAAATGAGAGAGTAGTAGAGGGGCAAAGCCTGGGTCAGAAGAGTCCATTCTCAAAAAGGAAGTAGAAGCAGAAGCAGCTCTATAAAGAATAGAGCCCCTGGAGAAGTGCCATGTGGCGATCCACTCAAGAGGGAATGAGATCCTGGGAGGCAGCAGGAAGGGCAGAATTCAGTACAATTAAAGGAGAAGACATCCGGCTTCCTTTGGGGTCAGTAAAGGTAAAAAACAGACACAGCTAAGGATGGAAGAAGCCAAATAGGGAATGGATATTGGAGAAGATCTTCCTGAATGGTGCTGTCATACATGCAGGAGGCATGGTCTTTTGAGGGCAGCAACAAGGAGGCTGGGGCTGCAGGGCATGCTTAATAGGAGTGGTAGGGTACTGGTGTACCCACTATGGTGAATAGAAGCAGAAATTGGTGATGGACAGCAAGGAATAAATAGTTGAGAAAGATCATGGCCCAACAAGACTGGAAACTATAACTTCACAGTTGTGAAATCTCAATCTCAATCTCTCTCTCTCTCTCTCTCTCTCTCTCTCTCTCTCTTTCTTTCTTTTTCCTTAGAGTCAGGGTCTCACTCTGTCACTCAGGCTGGAGTTCAGTGGCATGATCTTTGTTCACTGCAGCCTTGAACTCCTGGGCTCAAGCAATCCTTCCACCTCAGCCTCCCAAATAGCTGGGACTACAGGCATGTCCTATCATGCCTGGCTAATTTCTTAAATTTTTGTAGGGATGGGATCTCACTTTGTTGCCCAGGCTGGTCTTGAACTCCTGGCCTCAAGAAATCTTTCTGGCTCTGCCTCCCAAAGCACTAGGATTACAGTCATGAACCACCACGCCCAGCAAGATTTCTCTAAGTGTACCTGGCAGCTCCCATTTAGGAGTGGAGAGAGAAGAATGTCATCATTAAGGAGAGGGTGTGTGCTCAGAACTAGGGGCAAGAGAGTTGAGGGTAGCATCAGTATGGGAGGCTCAGCCTCAGTAGAGAAGGAATTAAGAAGAGAACATAAAACAGGAAAAGCAGAAAGGGCTAAGGGTGGATCTCGTTATAGCCTGAGTGTGCTATAGGGACAGTGTGGGAGGTGGATGGAGCAGAAGTGAAAGTCCTGGTAGGAGAGGAGGCCCATGCACTGGGAGGAGCTGATGGATGGAGAAGAATTATAGGTCCTCATGAGAAATGAGACCTGTGAATTGGATAGAGCAGGTGGGTGGAATAAAGATGTAGGTCCTTAGATGGGGTGCAGTGGCTCACACCTGTACTCCCAGCACTTTGGGAGTACAGAGTGAGAGAGACAGAGCAGTTGAGACTAGTAGTTCAAGAACAGCCTAGCCAACATGATGAGACCACATCTCTACTAAAAATACAAAAAAAAAAAAAAAATTAATTGGGTGTAGTGGTGCATGCCTGTAATCCCAGCTACTCAAGAGGTTGAAGCATGAGAATCGCTTGAACCCAGAAAGCAAAGGTTGCAGTGAGCTGAGATGGCACCATTGCACTGCAGCCTAGGCAACAGAGTAAGACGCCATCTATAAATGAATGAATGAATGATGTAAGTCCTTGTAGGAGAGGAGGCCCTCATGTTACATCAGGCAAGGGGTTGGAGCAGGGGCAAAGGTCTTCAAGGGAGAGGAGACCTGCAGGTTGGATGGAGCAGCCCACAGGGCTGAACTTGAGCCAGGTGAAATCTGATTGTCACTCCATTTTGTGGTCTTCTGACACCATGAAAACGGAAGCCATTGATTCATTTTCTTTTAGAGCACTATCCTTTTCATCCTTTTTTCCAGAATCCAATATAGCGTTCTTTACCCAGATGTTTATGGATGAACTGAAACTCATTTCTCTGTTACCATATAGGGTGTTACCGAGAGTCATTTCCTTTGGTTTTGTTCTGTCCATCTGGACAGAGAAGCAAAGCTTTTTAGAATTCCTCAAAGGCAGAACTTCCCAATTTTGACTCCAAACTCCTTTAAGTGAGGAAATGGAAAGATCACAGTAGAAATCAGAGCTGGCAGACCCCCACCTGTGGCTACCCGCACTGCCCAGTGTGACAGGACTCAAATGATCTAGACCACAGAGTCCCCCTGTCAGAGCACTTACCCAGAGAGATGGCAATAAAGCATGAATTCTCCAGTGGCTGATTTTTCAGTCATGTTGCAAATGGAAAAAAAATGTGTAAATATATTTGAAGACGTGGCCCATAAGGTCATTTATTTATACTGTAAATCTCCTTGATCCAGGAAAGCACCAGTTAGAAATCCTGATCTTTTGAGTGATATTTAATCCAACATTCTTGCTTTTCAATTTCATGGCCTCCTCAGCTACTCATGTCCATGACCACACCCTAGACATTGTTCATCACTACCCATAAACTCCAAGATCTTTCTGTCACAGTCCTGCTTTCCAGCAGCCATCTTCCCACTTTCCAGATGACTAACTCTGGTAAGCAGCTGGCCCCATCAAAACCTCCAGTCCTCATCCTCACTACCTACCACCCAGCTCATGCCCTCCTTACCCAGTCTGGATGCCATGGTCCACCACCGTAGCAGCCCCTTGCAACTTCTCCTTCACCATACTCACCAACAGAGCTTCAGCCCTGGCAAACCTAATCCTCTACCTACTCCATGCAGAGCAGCTGAGCATAGCTGGAGAACATTCTCATCTCTCCTGAAAGATCTTAATTTAAATTTAGGAATACAGGTCTCCAGTGGATGCTTTGGTCTGGCCCAGCCCTCCATCTATTCAAGATGACTGCTTTATTGCTCTCATCATTCTGCTAGCCTACAAAATACTTTCCTCTTCCTCATTGTCAGCTGATGATCTCTCTTCTGATTTCATGGAGAAAGCTGCAGCAATCAGAAGACAACGACCTCATCCTCTGGCCACCAAATCGCCCAGCAGTCTCCATCCACACACGGGGCTGTGTCTTCCCTACATCTGAGTGTCTGCCCTGCCCTCACCGAGGGATGATCCCTGGACATGGGCACCCAGCCCCACCCCTTCTCTTACCCAAGGACTAAATTCCTGCAATTGTCCCCTGTCTCGCATTATCCCCCTACTCTGCTCCCATCAGCATCTATGCATGCTGTATTATTATTCCCACCACTAAATGCTTTCCCGTGACCCCACATCCCCGTTAACCTATTACCTCCTCTCTCAGCTCCTTTCCTCTGCTGTTCCTCCAAACAACTGCTATGTCACCTGCTTCCTCGTCCTCATGCCCACCCCCATCCTCTCTTTCACTACTTCCCGTGGGGCCTCTGTCCCTACCATTCCACAGCTGCTTTTCTCAAGGTCGTTGACAGTCTTCACCTGGCCACACCCAGCTTTCTGTTTTGTCTTCATCTCACAGCTGATCACCCCCTACTCTTGGAAACACTTTGTTCATGTGGCTTTCAGACACCACACTCTTCCACCTTTCCTTCTACCTCATTAGCAACTCCTTCCTCTACTTCCCCAGCTTCTCGATCTCCAAATTTCTGGTTGTTGGAATAGCCCAGGACAAAGTCTTCTACTACTGTCCTTTTTGTTACCTACCTTGTCTTTGCAGACGAGCTCACTCAGTTGCATTGCTTAAATATTTAAGTGCCTTTGACATGCTTATGACTCTTAAAATTCTATCACCAGCCCTTCCCAAAATTTCTATCACTAAACCTTCTATCGCTAAAAACCTTCTATCACTAAAAATTCTATCACAAAACTTCCCAAGTACAAGTTTATATATCCACATCCATTTTCAATCTGTCTCAAAGGGCTTTGAGGCATCTCAAAATTTTTCTGTCCAAAAAGTGATTCTTGCTTCCACTGCTCCCCCAAAAGTGTTCTTCTCCCAGTCTTTCCTTTCTTAATAAATAATTTCACCATTTTCCAGGTTGCTAAGGTCAAAACTCAAGGAATCATTTTTTAATCTTCTTTCTTTTTTTTTATTATTACACTTTAATCCTCTTTTTTTTTATTATTACACTTTAAGTTCTGGGGTACACGTGCAGGATGTGCAGGTTTGTTACAAAGGTATACGCATGCCATACTGATTTGCTGCACCCATCACCCCACCATCTACATTAGGTATTTCTCCTAATGCTATCCCTCCCATAGCTCCCCACCCCCCAATAGGCCCCAGGCTGATGTTCTCCTCCCTGTGTCCGTGTGTTCTCATTGTTCAACACCCACTTTTATGATCCATCCAAAGTCCAGCTGGCCCTACTTCCAAAAGGTATCCTGAATGAGCCACTTCTCGCCACCGCCGTCCTCATGTCACTCCCGACCGCCATCCTCATCCCTGTTGCCATCATCTTCTGCTTTGACCACAGTGACATCTTCCTGTTTCCACTCATGTCACCTCATATGACAAGTAGAGTGGTCTTTTAAAATTAAAAATCAGGCCAGGCACGGTGGCTCATGCCTGTAATTCCAGCACTTTGGGAGACCAAAGCAGTCAGATCACCTGAGGCCAGGAGTTCGAGACCAGCCTAGTCAACATGGTGAAACCCCATCTCTACTAAAAACTTACAAAAATTAGGCAGGCATGGTGGCATATACCTGCAGTTCCAGCTATTTGGGAGGCTAAGACAAGAGACTCACCTAAACCCGGGAGGCAGAGGATGTGGTGAGCCGAGACAGCACAGTTGCACTCCAGCCTGAGCAACAGAGTGAGACTCCATCTCAAAAAATATGTATATAAATAAAAACCAGATTATTTGTCTGTTGAAACACACCAACTTCCCACCATACTTGGGGTAATATACAGATAGCTTACCGTGGCCTACAAGGCCCTCCCTATTCTGTGGTGTCTTTGACCTTAACCCTGACCATCTTCCCCATTGCTCACTCAGTTCCAGCCACACCGGGCTCCGTGTGCCCCCCAAATTCCTCAAGTACCCTTTCATTGAAGGAGCTTGCTCTCTCCTCCCAGAAAGGCTCTGCTCCCAAGATCTTGTCTCATTCTTTCACGTAACCCAGGTAACGTGCGTATCCTCTCTACATAGCCCAACCTGTCATTCCCCAACCCTGTCATGTTCCTTATTCCCTCACCTGGTTATTTCCTTCCTAACACTCAGCACTGTCTGAAATTGTCTTGATTTCTGGAGGACAGTGGCCGATTCTGTCTCCTCCATTGGAATGCAAGGGCCCCATTTCTGTCTCCTCCTTTGGAATGCAAGGGCCCCGAGGGCAGCACCATTGACAACCTTGTTTGTTGTTCTATCCCCAGTACCTCAGCGTGCCTGGAGTGTGACAGGTGCTCAGCGAATGATTGTCGAATGAATGAAAACTGTGTGCAGTTCAGCACACACGCAGTGTACCTTCCACGCTATTCCCCCTTGCAACCTACAGCCATTCTTTAAGAAAAACAGGATCCTTTCATTTTCTAACACAGTTCCCCTTGTACAGATGAGGAAATGAGAGATTATATGATCTTCCCGAGGTCCTGTGGCTGGTAAGTGTAGGAGTTGTTGAGATACAAAGCCAGATTCTGACTTCTGATCTTTCTCCCACTCAACAGATTTCCTCCAGCCCTCTTCCGGGGCCCCCCCAGCGCCGGCTCAGTGTCAGACCCAGTGTCGGAGGCGAGACGGGGCTGATGAGCTGTGCGCTCCCGGATGAACTTCTCACGCAGATCCTGGCAGAGCGGATACAGGTGGGTCCATGCCGCCTACACAGAGCTGCAGGGCTCAGCACTCAAACACCATCCCCGTGACCTGGGCGGAGATTCTGGGCCATCAGCCGCCCACGGTGGTTCAGAAGGCAGTCATTTGCTTGTCTTTTTGACAGCTCTTGTCACTCGCTGACCCTGGCCCAGTCTACAGCCTGAAGCCACTCACCTTCTTAAAGTACCAGAGAGCAGAAGACTACACACACATTTTTTTAATTACCAGAAACAGAGTGGTGTGTTAAAAATTCCAACGTGGAGCCATTCTCAAAGTTAGAATTTGGAGCTATGTTAATTGCTTCGGAAACATATTTTCAATGTTATTAAGTTCAAAAGAGGTAACTAGGAAATAGTGGCTAAAACTTAATAACATCCTACATAAATATTTGTAAATGTATATTACACACATAGTAAAAACTCTGAAAATACATGCTAACTGAGGTTATCTTTGGGTAGCAGGATTGTAGAATTTTAGTCTTCTTTATACATTTCTCAATTATTTAACAATAGCATACTGCTTTTAAAGTCATTAAAATGATAATGCTGTTTCTAATTTTTAGGTTTTTTTCCACTGTTCTACAGTTAACAACAATAAAATAAGGTTAGCAGGATTACTTAAGCCGGTTTCTGCTCATGGTTTGCAGACACAGCGACATCGCTAACCAGGTGCCAGAGCTGGGTGTTTGCTTTGGTTTTCAAGTAGGGCCACAGTATTAATTGCACATTTAAATACAACAAAGTTAGACTTGAGGCTCCCAGAGGAGGAGGAATATCACCACCAGAAAGTTTTTTATGTTGAGATTTGCACTGCTACTTCATTAAAGGTGCTGTCACTCTCAACTGATTTGAACAGTGTGTTTCCATAAGTGTGCCAGTGTTTTAGACACCCGGTGTAAAGGCTGAGAAACACGGGTAAGGCCCCGCAGTAAGCCAGTGAGGCTGGGTACTCCAAGTGCCGGTCTCTGATGACACATGGAGCTTACCCAGCTTCTTCCATCACAAAGTCTTGCTACAAAGTCCAGCCACAGAGAAACAATGATGTGGCTGTGGTACCTGTTCAGCTGCCAGCTGAGCCAAATAGTGTGTTTAGTGGCACAGGTCATTTACGTTATGACACAAATTTCTTGTCTCATCAAAAACCTAATGCTCATTCACTGGTGGCCGGACTATGGGCTACACTTTGAGTAACACTGAGTAAGGCAGAGTCTGTTCTTCAATGGTTACTGTTACCAAAATCATTATACTCCAGGGCAGTAAGACCACTAAGAAAAATACACAAGGCCCATCACTGGTGGCCCTGCTGCCGGCGACTGTGCTGGGGAACATCTTTCCCTTTTCATCTCATTTTTGCATACCTCATGGATCTGCCCAGACTGGCCCTTTGACATTTTTGTTTGTTCATTTATTTCTACAGACAGAATAAATCCTT